CCACTGAGCATGGATTGGAGAGCACACCATGTCAACATGGAAATAAGTTCAGCCACCACTATGTGCAACTTAAGCGGACTTAAGCAGACTTAAGCAGACTTAAGCTACCCTCAGAAACATAAAAAGACAAAAAGTCATTTCCAAACGTTTGAAGACACATTCACCAGCATTCATAATTTCATCTACACCAACCTACGTCATTTGTTTTTATTCAAGAAGCTCTGAGATCCGAGCAACGGCCTATTCCATTCTGATCTTGAGAGATGGAGTGATGCGATCTTCATTCGGTCCCAATATCAACCCGGGTACAAAGCACAGAGAATCGATTGGGTCATATCCCTTGGAATATCGAAAGAGATTAGGACAGATTTCAATGGCACGAGGGGAAATCTTTCTGGGAATACCACCCACAGTGGCGACTGTTTTCCCGTTGAAAGTGTTTTGCAGGTGTTAAAATCACATTGATCGAGAGCGTCATCAAAAGTACATTGTGAAGCTCTCGGGGATCATGCAAAGGTTTTTACTTTTCTTGGACTACTCATGTAGAGAAAGGAGAGGGCCAACTCGCACGAAGATTTTGGATCGTCCAACGGGGGGATCTGAGGCCCCAGAACTTGAATTGAGATCGAACATACCGGGAAATGAAGTAGATTTTAGAACAGAAACAACACAGTCGACAGAGTCAGCTGTACTTTGAAGGTCTTCAGACTCGGAAGTGAGAGTTGCTTCCAGGGCATTGTTAGAATCGAAAGGATGATTATCATGATCGGAAGTACAAGCATCGAGCATGACACATTTCAAGCTTCTAAGGATGGGACGTAAACCAAGACAAAATTGAAGTGAGGCGATGCATCTGACGTATTGATTTTAATCGCGTCTTGCAATTTACCGGGGAAGATAGGCTTTGGAGAATGGGGTGGGTCTCAAGAATTCAAGTGTTGTCGTGAAAAGTGAAAGTAGAGGTCATGAGAAAAGACTGCCCCTGTAGAGAGCAATGCTTGCCTTTTGTGATCGCGGGATCAACTTGATAAAGCGCGCTTAACGCATATTGAGTGAGATTGTCTGGATTTGGTCTCCTATCTCACATCGAAAAACACGCCTTTTTCTACACTCCATCTCATTTCTTGAGTCTGTGTTGTCGGCTGGTGTATTGATGATATTTCACCGTACTCCCTCGCCATAGTATCAATTCCACCGGCTTGTTTTTTGCGTGAAAGGAGCATTTTGAAAGGACGTCTAGGCTGACCGCTAGTAGTATAGCCTATTGCCACTTGCAGACAACTCTGAATCTGCACTGAAACAAATGTGATTTTTCTTTGATCCCTTCAGCTAAGCTCTCGAACTTTCTTATCCCCAAGGATTGGTAACTGTGGAGCAATCAGGATCAGGAAGTGATCACTTAGGCGCATTACGCGTATAGGACGCGTCATGTTCAGATGCGCATTTAGATATGTTTCTCTTCTCACTACGTGACACCTTATTGAGTCCGTTAGGTTCATCTATATAGAACAACTCTCTTACTTCATGTTGTTCTCTTCTCCCTATCGAACTCAAAGCTTTCATTGTGTTACAATCTCCTTTACAGATTGTCCTTTCTTTCGATCAACCAGTGTCTTCCCTCAGTAAGACCCTATCTGATCTTAATCCGCTTCAGGTGTTAGTTATTGTTTTAGTTGTTTGTGTTCTCCTTTGATTAATCGAACTCAAAGCTTTCATTGTGTTACAATCTCCTTTACAGATTGTCCTTTCTTTTGATCAACCAGTGTCTTCCCTCAGTAAGACCCTATCTGATCTTAATCCGCTTCAGGGAAAGAAAACAGACAAAACTGCCTAAAGCTCTTTGGTTATGAGCCCAGCGTTCCACGAAGCGCTTAAAATTTTTTTCAATCAAATCTAAAAATCCTTTCAAATGACCGACTCATCAAACTCAGCGCGAGTTCATTTCCCTAAACTTTCGAAAACGAACTACGTTGAATGGGCCGGTGATGTCGTCGCCCACTTGATGACATGTAACCTAGAAGAGTTCATCAACATGGACTCGCCTCCCGTTCCTCCCGTAAAAGTCGATGGGTCTGATCAATCTATCCAACTCGCGGTCTTCGCCACCAAACAGAAGAAGGCAGCAGGTATCTTGTTCGGATGCATTGATCAGGACAACAGAATTCGCATTGTCGCCAAGGATGCAGTCTTGGATCCCATCAAAATTTGGAAAATTTTGAAAGAACACTTTCAATCTTCATCTGATGAAAATCAAGCCCGCGCATATCTCAAGTGGACCGATATCATCTTCACTGACCTCAAAACGTACATCACTGACAATCAACATGCTTTAGCCGGTCTCTTAGCTGTTGACGGGATTCAACAAATCCATCAAAAATTCATCGGAGAGACCATCGTCAGCAAGCTCCCGTCCTCCATGGACATCACCAAGACCTTATTACGAAAGGATCGTCCACTAACCTCCGAAAAGGTTATCAACTATCTCAAGGCTCAGCTCGTATCTATTAGAGATGAAGAACTTCACACCAACACCATTGCACTTGCAGTTCGACAACCGCGAGCTTTGCAACGCACAACCACCCAACGTCCTCTGATGTTCGGTCAACCATCACGACCTTATTGTTCCAACGGGCGCCACAATCCAGAAGCGAAAGGTCACACTTCCACTCAATGCTTCCAGGTAAACCCCGGTCTTCGACCAGCTCAGACCAGCTCAACTCAACCTAGAGCGTCCGTTACCGTCGCCAGTGACGCTTTCTTTGAGGCCCAAGCCTTCGTTCTAACCACGACTGAACACAAAGGGATCCTCCTAGATAGTGGGTGTTCTCACCACATGGTACCTGACAAGGACATGTTCGAAAATCATCAACCCATCTCGTCAAACGTCACTCTTGCGAACGGCGCGAACATTCGAATCGCGGGAAAAGGAACTATCACCTGCAACCTTGCCGACAGCAAAGTAATTCTTCAAGCCCTACACGTACCAGACTTAGGATTCTCATTGATCAGCATGTGCAGCTTGTTGATGCAAGGCTACACCATCCACAACCACGTCGACGACATTCTGATGACCAAAGTCGGAGTTGGAACCTTTGTTGGCCATGTTCGAAATCAGGTCATTGAACTCGACATCACCATAGGCACGTCAACTCCTATTTCTAATCCCCGAGCCAACATTTCAACTTCTGACTATGATATTCTCCACAGACAGGGAGGTCATCCCGAGTCTCCACGCCTTAAAATGATGTATAAAGTTGGAGCTCCTGACGACTGGAATTGTGAAATTTGCAAGTTGTCAAAAGGTCACCGTCTTCCCTACTCCGGTCACTTTCCTTCTGCCAAACATCCTCTAGACGTCATCCACAGTGACCTCAGTGGGAAAATTTCTGTCCCTTCTGTTGGTGGTGGATTGTATTACTTTAAACTTACGGATGCATGTACAAATTATAAACATGTTTTTATTATGAAATTAAAATCCGATACTTTCTCTTGTTTCACTCGATACAAAACACTCGTTGAGACACTTCACAATAAAAAGATCGTAAGTCTGGTGAATGACCAGGGCGGAGAATACATGGCTAAGGACTTTCAAGAATTACTCAAGAAAGACGGAACAACACAACATCTGAGTGCTCCGTACACACCCCAGCAGAACCCAGTCTCTGAAAGAGGCAATCGTACAACAACTGAGAAGGCGCGCACCTTGCTTCGACAATCAAACTTGCCCTACAACTTCTGGGCTGAGGCTGTGACAACAGCCGTGTTTCTTGAGAACGTAACGCCAGCCAAGATAACTCAGAACAAATCAGCGTACGAGTTATGGTTTGGCCGTCCCTTTGATTACTCCAGACTAAAACCGTTTGATTGTCGAGCTTACGTTTTTATTCCCAAACAATTCCGACGGAAGTTTGACAACACGTCCTCTAAAGGCATCCTCTTAGGCTATCAGGTGGGAATGAAAAACTACCGGATCAGACTAGACGACGGTCGAATTGTCTATTCTCACGACGTAACGTTCGACTGCACCAACTTTCCAGGAATTGAAGGTGATACTGAACGAGACAACTCCAATCTCGACGCTCTCTTCAAAGACAACTACATCATTCCAAACATCTCGATATATTCACCTCCCTCCACATCCACGACTACCAACGTTCAAACTCTGGAAGATACACCCCGTGATACTCCTACTCCATCACAACCATCCTCACCAGTCATTTTACCACAGACGACTCCATCAGAAATCGAAGATGAAGTTGCTCGAGAAGAAGACGACGATTCGGGTGATGACAATGAAGTAGTCGATAACCTCACGAACCACTTAAAACCAGGTTGGGACTGGCAGTTGAGAGCTGAGGCACCAAAAGACATTTCGAGCAACATTGACTCATCAAAT